GTGTACGTTCTGTTTCTTTGTCTGTGACAAAAGAAACGTAAGGGTTTCAAAAAGCAGATGTTCAAAAAGTCATGTGACGTCACGCTGTATATCCCGTGCTTGCAGGGCGTGATTAAATTACTGTCCTTTTCCTGTTTGGATATAGCTCCATTCATTGGTGGTCACAAGACATCGTGGTTTCTATATGTTGTGAACGAACCTTCCAGTTCTGATACCAAGAAAGCTTTTTCTCTTGATTGGATTAGTCTTTAATCACTCCTCTGAGTAGATGACGACAAGACTGGCAGGAAGTCGACCCAGAATATTGGAGTCATGTAATGGGGTGATTAGCAAACCTCATGATGGCTGATAGAGGCATAGCAGTGTCCGTTCGTGTACTAGAAATCCCTACATGTGTGAAACAATTCCTCTAATTAGAAAGGCGTGGACTTTCTTTTCCAGTATTCTGGTCTAGGTCAGCAATCAGCAAAGACCTTTTCAGACTGCACACAGCCTGCGCTTCTCCTGCAGAAAGCATTTCATCTTAGAACAGACATGCTGTTGCGCTTGATTGTGAATTCTTTTTTGAAGTAGCGCCTGACTCAGCTGGAGTTTACATGTTTGATGTGGTTTTGGTGTGATATGAAATTGAACAGAAGGGATTTCTTTTTGAGTCTCTACAATGGTCCCCGACTGAATATAGTAAAAAAAAAAAAGTGCAACCCTTTGAAGTCTAAGGTGACTGCATCTATGAGTTTTATGAAGGATAAATCATTTGGCAGGCAAGGCAAGGTCACTGTCAAGTGTCTGGTTGGAAATTCAGCACCACTTTTTTTTTTACACAGCTCTGCTGCTACTGTTGATGCTGACCAAAAAAGACACTTATAGGGCAATACACTTTCTGCAAGCTTGTGTTTACTGCACAAAAATAAAATAAAGTAAAATAATACAATTTTAAACCGTGTCTGTTTTTCAGTAAATTAAATTAATAATTTCCATAATATCAAAAAGTTAAATAATCAATACATTTAGCAGAAAGACAATTCAACAAGATGTTGATAAGAGACAATTACTCATAGCTTTTCTGGAGCAAGACCTGTCAAAAGTTTAAACCATCCTTGTTTTATTGTATTAAGGGCATGACTTAACAGCACAATTAAAGTTCAGTGTTATCTGGCTCATTACAATATGACTTAGAACTTGACATTTAGAATCTACTTGACATTTATATGTGCATTATCATGTTTTAAAACTGAAGGCAAGTCATCTTTCTCAATACTTTGAAGAGTAAGATGTCCTCTTTGAATTGTGAGAGCACAAAAAAATAGTCTCTGATGATGTAAAGGGAAGGAATTGAAAAGTGGACATGTTTTTATAAAAGATGCATCTTCTGATATCAAACACTTGATTATGGACGACAAGAAGAAAAATTCAGATGTAGCCTGAAGAAAAAAGTAATTTCCTTGTTTTGTCTCTTCATGCAGGTTATAAATGAGGCCATTTATTTCTTCTATTAACTTATATTGGTGAGTCCAGCATTTGTGAAGGTTAAAATTGACAATGAGTAAGAAAAAAATAGTTTGTAAACCTGTTTCACACCACACATGTAAGCAGCTCATGTATTTCAGCACCCTTATTAACAGGTTACGGCATTCACACTGCCTACTTAAGAAGCACAGTTAGAGTTTCAGCACTGAGCCTATTTTTGCTATATGTAGCGCGTTGAACAGAGAAAATTTGTTTTAAACATGTTTATCAACACAAAATCAAATTATAAAGCAAAATACTTGCTTATGTATGTAAAATGTGTCTGTTGGACTTGATTTAAGATGATTTAAGCACACATTAAAAGGCAGTCCTTATTTAAATCTGACTGAATACTGATGTTGCAGTTTATCATAACTTTGAGGTTTGGGTTCCACATGTAAATTAGATTTAATGAAATCATGTTTGTAATAGTTTATTTTCGATCGGTCTCTCCTGTAGCATTAACACTCTATGGGGAAAGTCCTGTTTACTTTGATAAGTCGGCTCTGAGTGCCATTTCGTCATAATATCCTCCTTCATCAACAAAGAGCATCTCCCTGCTGACTCTTCAAGCAAGAAGCCAAAGAGAGGAGAAGAAAGAAGCTCAGCCTCCCACTCACTGCCGTGAGAAGAAGCCACTGGCAGCAGAAGATCCAGCATTTAAAAGAGCATATTTTCTGAGCAAATTTCCACTGCAACATTATTGCAAATGTCGCGACAGGGAACCCCACAATGCAGATGGGGACGGTGAGTGTGTCGCCTGTCTGTGCAGCACCCACGCAGAAGCTGCACTCACCGAGGTGGAATGTTCTTACTGCGAGAACTGAGTCTCTCCCTTCTCCACTCACGGATCACCTTCTTCCATGAAGGCGGTCTTCCTCGGACCTCCTCCCCTTCCTTAGGAGGAAGAAACAATGGGGCTCAAACACCGGGCTCGAGTGAAATCACACTGGCTTAGGTTACGCGTGCTGCAATCTCCCTCAACGTCATTCGACCATGTTCTTCACACATGATGGTCAGCGCTCCTCCTCAGCTGTGAGCGGCTTGATTTTATTCGGTTGATCTGAGGAGGTAGCTGTCGTAGATGACTCTATGTTATTGACGGCTTCAGATGCGGAAGAGTGGGCATGTTCTGGTGAAGACCCCAACACCCTTCCACCGACGCAGACAACATGGCCCCACATGGAAAGTGAGCTGTGGAGGATCTCGACCTGGCTTGGTAGGCTCCGGAAGAGCCTGCCTATGGCCTCCTTGACGAGTGGTTCCTGAAAGGGCACCGTCAATAATCCTCCTATGAGCGGGCTTCCCCGTACCTTCCGGCAGTTCACGAGGAACTCACCAGGACATGGCGTGCCCCCTAATTGTCGCGTGGTAATCCCTCCACTTCTGCTGCTTTCACCATTTTTGACGGCACTGAAGAATGAGATTATATAGCAAGCTCCCCCCTCTGGAAGAAGCGATCAATGCTCATCTGTGCCCTCCATCGGCCCTGGGGTTAAAAGCCCATCCAGCGCATCCATTCAATTCCTGCAGGTCTACCTCAGCCCTAGTTAACAGGGCTTATTTAGCGGCTGGCCAGGCTGGCTCAGCACTTCACATGATGGCAGTGCTCCAAGTGTTCTAGGCCAAGCTTCTCCACATCATGGACGAACGTACAGCAACTGACTTGGCTCTGCGTGCTACCAAGGCCACTGCGCAGGTGATCGACAAGGCCATGACCAACTTGGTGGTGCTGGAGTGCCACCTTTGACTGAATCTAACCGAGATCAGGGAAGTGCATGGACACAGCTCTCTCCCCTCTGAGACAGATGGGAATCTGCATCAGCCAGATCAGAATGGGAACTCATCGCTCACTGGTCACTGCTGCCCAACCACCTGGAGCGGCTTGGATTGAACATCAATTTAGCCAAGAGCTATTTGTCTCCCAGCCAGCGGGTAGTCTTTCTGGGGACAATTATCAATTCTGCCCAGATGCGGGGATGGATTACGCCAGAAAACTCCCTGATAGTTCAGTGGCTAGTGGTGTCATTCAAACTGGGGACTTCACATGCCCTCAGGGTTTTACAGAGGATGCTCGGCCTTGTGTCGTCTGCTTTCGCTGTGATTCTTCTGGGCCTGCTTCACATGCGGCCCTTCCAGTATTGGCTCAAAGCCCATGTCTCATCCCACGCTTGGCACCTGGGACGTTTTCATCTCAGGGTAACCCACCTCTGTATCAGAGCTGTGACCTCTTGGAAATCTCCTCACCTGTTTCAATCAGGTGTCCCGTTGGGACTGACCTAAAGAAGGAAGGTTTTCTGAATGGACCGGGACGTGGTGCCACTTTAAGGCCGACAGGAAGGTTTTTAGGGCTAGAAAAACTGCCATCATCTCGAGGCAGTTGATGTGCAAGCATTGCTACAGGTTTGACTAGGAGCCGAACACTGGTCTGCCCTCTTACAGAGCTCCCCAACCCAAGTTGGAGGCATCTGTCGTGACCACATTAAGGTGGTAGCCTTTATAAATCACCAAGGTTGTCTCAGGTCACGTTCCCTCTACAGGTTGGCTCAACACCTCCTTTTATGGGCACAGGGCAAACTCCTCTTGATGAGAGCAGTTTATGTGCCGGGCAGACTGAACCAAGGAGCAGACATGCTGTCCAGGGGCAATATAAAGCTCCAGGAGAGTGGAGACTACATCCTCAAATGGTTCAAAAGATCTGGTCTGTCTTCGGAAGGGCAGAGGTGGTCCTCTTCACCTCAGAAGACAACTTTCATTGCCCAATTTATTTTTTGAAGCAGAGAGATGCCCTGGCCCAGCGCTCACCTGTAGGCCTTTCCCCAAGTTGCCCTGCTTTCTCAGGTCATCAGATGGGTCAGGGAAGTCAGATGTTCAGCCCTCCTGGTGGCCCCACTCTGGAGGAATCAGACGTGGTTTCCCGAGTTGATTCATCTGTTATCGGCAGCCCCCTGGCAGATACCATAGATGAAGGACCTCTTCTCGCAAGCTAGGGGCATGATTTGGCATCCCCTGCCAGAGCTGTGGAGTCTTCATGTTTGACCCCTTGACGGGAGTCTTTGTAGCTCCCCACAAGTGTAACTAATATAATTTTAGAGGCTAGAGCTCCGTCTACAATACATCTCTATGCCCTTAAATGATCAGTCTTTTCTGACTGGTGAGTGGGTGACCTGCAAGCACTGTACGTCAGTGCTTCATGTCTTGAGTTTGGGCCTAACAACTGTAGAGTCGTCCTCAAGCCAAGGCATGGCTATGTGCCAAAAGTGCTCTCCACTCCATTCAGAGCACAAGTAATCACCCTTCTAACGCTCCCCAATTCAGAAGGTGAGCAGGATCCTAATCCACTCTGCTCAGTTCGTGACCTAAGAGTGTATGTTGAACGCTCTGGCCCATTTCGACTCTCAGAGTTGTTCTTTGTATGCTTCGGAGGCCATTCTAAAGGGCTGCCATCTCACTGGATAGTGGATGCTATAGCCCTGGGTTACGTCTCAGTGGGTTTACAGTGTCCTATAGGAGTGAGGGCCCACTCCTCCAGAGGGATGGCCTCCTCCCGGGCTTGGTCCAGCTGAATTTCTATTGGTGATATCTGTGCGGCCACCGGCTTGTCGTTGCCATCTACCTTCACCAGATTTTATAACTTGGACGTCCCTGCCCTGCAGGCACCGATTTTGTTCACTTAATCTACCTAAGCCCCTTTGTAAGTGGGAAAGGTCCTCAGCGTAGCCACTTGGGTCTCATTATTAGCGAATGCTTACAGGAGCCCTCAGTATGGGCTTTGTTCTGCACTTGCTTAAAGCATGGCATGATTGGATACGTTCCCCATAGCTTGTTAACGCAATGGGAGAGACTGTTCGAAAGGTAATGCTCTGGTTACTTACGTAACCTCGGTTCCCTGAGATAGGCTGCCATGCTATATGGCTTCAATCTAAAGTTTCTGATGAAATAGCACTCAGAGCCAACTTATATAGCAGTCGGCTCCACCCCATTTGGTGTGTTGAAGCGCCATTTGTTCGTGCAACTACACGAACGTGATCAAATCTGGCTTCAGTATAAGTGTAAACTCGAGTTTCCCCATAGTGTGTTAATGCAACGCTCAGGGAACTGAGGTTACATAAGTAACTGGAATGTTTTCGATAGTTAACTCACGCTAATTATTTTATCAGCTGAATTATTATTTATAATATTTATTTATAAAATATTATTTATAAATACAAATTGTAATTAATGATATTTGAATTTATATACACTACCATTCCAAAGTTTGGGGTCGGAACGACTTTTTATGAAATACATTTATATTTGAATTCAGCAAGGAAACATTAAATTGACCAAAACTGACAGGTTTATAATGTTACAACAAATATATATTTCAAATAAATGCAGTTATTTTGCTCTTTCTATTAATCAGCTTCTATTAAGCAGCTTGTTTGTTTTTTTAACATTGATAATAGTAAGAAATATTTTTTAAGCATCAAATCGGCATATTAAAATAAATTATTTCTGAAGTATCATTTGACAGTGGAGTAATGACTGGTGAAAATTCATAATTACATTTTAAAATATATTAAAATGGAAACCAGCTACTTTAAATTGTAATATTATTTCAAATTATTGCTGCATTTTTACTATATTTTCAAATAAATGCAGCCTTGGTGAGCATAAGAGATTTCTTTAAAAAAAAAAAAGTCCAACACCCAACTTTTTAACAGTAGTGCAAAAGACAATTACTGTTTAGGTAACACTTTATTTTGATAGTCCACTTCTACTAACTATAAGTAACTTTGCAACAACATGTCAACAAGCAGTCACTAGAGTATTAGTAGACTGTCTACTTAATATCTGATAACACTTTATTTTGAAGGTTGCTCAACAGACATTCTACTGGCTATAAGTAACTTTGCAAGTATGGCAACTTATTCTGCTAACCCTAACTTAACAATCTACAAATGCTCTAATGAGAGTTAGTTAACATGTAGTTGCAAAGTTACTTATAGTTAGTAAAATGTCTATAGCAGACTATCGAAATAAAGTGTAACCAATGTTTATTATATTAATAAAAACATAAAATAAAACTAATATAAATCCATAAATTGCATAAAATATGCGTCCATTTAATCATGTAGCAGATGCTTTTATCCAAAGCGACTTACAAATGGGGGCAATAGAAGCAATTAAACCAACAAAATAGCAACAATATGTAAGTGTTGTGACAAGTCCCGGTTAGTCTAACGCAGTACACGTAGCAACGTTTTTTTTTAGGCTTGCAGTGTGTAATAGGCCTAACTCATAATAAAATGTGAACCTAGGGAGGGAAAAAAGCAAAGAGCATTTATCACAAACAACTTTAATGTTGAAAGTCTCCATTTGAGTTTGTTATAGTATATACAATATAAGTTTATACAATATAATCAATAATGGATAAGATATTCTTTCAAGTTATCTTTTGATAACTGACAAAGAGGTCTCATTAGCTCCACTCTCAGGGAGATTGATAGAAAACATGGGTCAAAATGAACATTGTAATGACTTGGCTGGCCAATACAGAATCATTGGAATCGGCTGCCCTAGTGTAAAGCCACAGCTCTGATGAATCGCTGTACGGTGATGTCAGAGCGGCACCATAACACTTAGACAGGAAGACAAAAGGCGCAAAGAGCCTGTGGCTATCAAACTAGTGGCAGAGAGCCGGAGGACAGTAAGTAGGATTGGAGGGGCTCGATCACCATGGAAGCAAGCAGCACAGTCTGGGGCAGTCAGTGAGGGCGATCCAAACAGATGTGTTCATGGGGCATCAAGGAAAAGTCCCAACTGTGACATTCCAGGCACTGGCCTGGCAGAATTCCTGCTAAGTGCTGGTAAATATGTTTGGAAGGATTGCTAGCAGGGCAACAATTTTTTGGATGTGATTTTTATCCTATTTTTTTCCTCATCTTGGTCCTTTTACACCAAGGTTATAGACTGCTCTTGCTTGGATCATTGCAAATAACAATGTCAACAGTTGAAAGACAAATAAAGCAGTTCATGAGGCACTTTTTATATCAAAGAGGTTTTTTTTTTGCTTCATTGACTTGTAGAAGAATATAAAACAGATGTTGGCTGATTCATACTTCTGCGTTGGACCTACGCCGAAACCTTTACGCCGTAGGCCAGGGATCCTCAAATCTGGCCCACAAGATCCAATTTCCTGCAGAGTTTAGCTCTAACCCTAATCAAACAACAAACCACTAGTTAGCAGTGTCCACGGGCATGTTGCTGGTGTAACCCATGGCAAAAGCCGAAGAAGAAGCAGCTCGTCGGAGAAGCATTATATAGCCATGATGGCGGCAAATACATATCAAATCATTAAATCATTATTTTAAACTACAAAAAGGAGACAACAACGGAACAGGAGATGATGGCATTCTTTCAATCTGCACAAGGACTTGTACCATGGCAGATCAACATTGTTTGTTGCGGACAACTACTGATGTATAATGCTATGTAGTATAATAAATGATAAGACACTTGTTCTTTGCTTTGTTTTATTTTATATAAGAAGGTGTAACATTAAAATATATTAAAGTGCACATAAACACACACAAAACTCAAGTACATATGGAGGGAGGGGTTCTTGCAGACCAATCAGCGCTTGCGGTCTGCGTAGAATTGACGTGATGTTAGATTTTTGGAGAGGTGCACGTCAGGCTACGGCTTTATTCTCGCTGTAGTATTGTTGCTGCCGCCATGTCGAGATGCTGTGTGTTTCGTTGTGAAGGCGAAAATACTTTGTTTGGCCTTCCAAAAGAGGACGATATCCACTTCATCATGCCTGGAGCTGATCCGTGCTGGTCGCTGAGGAAATACATCAACTTCACGCTGTGGATCGCCGGATCGGCTTTCACCGTGGATGAAGCGGAGTCCAGCCCGGGGTCGTCACATGTGGTTGCCGCAATCCCGCCAGCCGCTCCTTCATCGAATCCGCCGGCCGCGCCATTCTCAAGACCGCCCGCCGCCACTCACTCTAGGCATCCGGCCTCCGCTCACTCTAGCCCACCGTGTTTCATTGTGAAAGCGAAACTACTTTATTTGGTCTTACAAAAGAGGACACGACTAGAAATCAGTGGTTCAGTTGTATTTACAACACTGTTCCAGAACAGTTCAACACAAATTTTCAGATGTGTTCAGCTCATTTTATGGAGGACTGTTTGCTGATCCTGGTAGAGTAGACTACAATGCCGGCTGTTCTGACTCACAGACTGTAAGTACGTTTTTTATATTTAAAGAATTTGCCACTGACGATTCAAACGCGAGTTTTGAGCAGTGTAAAGTAGCACTTGTTGTTTGTAATTTCTCCGATCACAAATGCAGACATGCAACGATGCAGTGACAGTATAAAAAAAGACAGTATAAGTCATTATAATCCGTAATTATGTCCCCACTGGATGCAACAAATGCCTCGTTTATAATGGGTTTTTCTGGTTTTGTCTCGTCGCTCCGGCCGGACAGGGCATCACAGTATGGTAAGGGGCATAACATTTCCGTCACACGCTTGAGGAATTCGGCCAATCACAACGCAATGGATAGCTGGCCAATCAGAGCACACCTCGCTTTTCAGACCGATGAGCTTTGTAAAAATCGACGCGTTTCAGAAAGGCGGGGCATAGAGAAGAAACAATAATGTACAGTATGTGGAAAATAATATGTTTTTTGAACCTTAAAGTGCACAAACACATTTCATTACACCAAATACACAAAATAATGTTCTTTTTAGCAACATCATATGACCCCTTTAAATACTTTGTCAGGAATTTTTCTTAGTACTGTGTAACTGCATGTAACTTGATTAATTATTGCTCCCCCATGAAAATTGCATATATTCGTCTTCAAGGGTTTGTGCTGATCAGCTGACTGTCTTTAGTAAATTCTGAAAAGTTTTTGTTGTGTTATTTATTTTTTACATTTCTACATATAAGCAAGGGAACCAGAGGCATGTGCCCCCTCAGATTTCCGAGCCAAGTGAATTTTGAATGCAGCTTCCAAAAGACAAAAAATAGCCCAATCATATTTTTTTTATATTTGATACAATTACACCGGTGTGATTAGAACGTTCAGTGCGTCATATCACCAGCTGCTGAATTCAAATCTGCGTTCGCTGGCTGGCGTTGAGCCAGATACAGATTTTTTATGTGTAGTTAATAGATTACACAAGTCTACTTTGCCCATCACCATTTATTGATTAAATAACATAATCTATAAAGGTGCAAAACGCATTTAATTACACATATTTGAGAATCGAGACATTTCCTGATATAGGTAACACGTTTGGAAATATTTCTAATAAAAAGGAAAAAAATAAAATAAAACACAAGCCTATATCAGTTATACAGTGCTATCGTGCCCGCTCAAAAATAATGAGTGCATGATGCCCCTGAAGGGACCTACACTCTCTGGTATGAAAGACTGAATATGGAGACACTGATAGGCGGCGTTGTACTGGGAGTAGCTCTCTTTCAGCATGAAAGGAGAAGATCAAGGCACAGTTCTCTCACATTAATTCACTGCAACACCCAACAACAGGCCCAAAAACTCAAATTGAAGCACAGGTAGTTATTCACACATATGCACACACACACACACACACACACACACACACACAGGTTTGCGTTTGTGAAAAGTGGGGACAACCCATAGGCGTAATGGTTTTTATACTGTACAGACCGTATATTCTATTGCCCTACACCAACCCTACCCCTAAAGCTACCCCTTACAGGAAACTTTGTGCTATTTCAAATTTTCAATACACTCCATGCTGTGTGATTTATAAGCGTTTTGAAAAGTGGGGACATGGGGTAATGTCCTGAAAAGTCACCTTCTCCTTGTAATACCTATGTCATACCTTTGTCATTATACAAATTTATGTCCTCATTTGTCACAAAAATGCACACACACACACACACACACACTTACCTGTCCTACTTTTGCTTTTTTACAAACAAACGTCTCGTATACAAAGGCAAGTTCTGGAGGAAACTCATTGACATCCAGCACCTTGATTGTGACAGTAACTTTGCTGGACAGCAGGGGGTTGTCTGAAAGATCAAACAAAATATTGTCAGTGAATCAGATCAGTGAAAACTGCAAAATGTCAGACACATTTCATATTTGAAAAAGGAAAGAAATAGCACAAATGAAGAACTTGGAAAGTCTTTGACGTGTTATATGTATGACCAGTAACACTCTTGAGGATCTGACGATTTTGAAGTTGCTTTCATGTTAAAATAAATCCTTATAATGTGCCCACTGTAGCTACAAAAACAAAAGATTTTAGCTGGATCACTTATATCTAAAGAAAATTTTGTTGTTGTGGCTTTTCATTAGGAAATCAGCTTGATGCAAAATAATTTACTTATTTATTTGGTCTCTTGACAAATCTCTTATTTTAACTGGATTTTATTGATGATTTTTTTTTCTTTTCTTTAGCCAGTATGAACGAAGCACTGCTGTATTTTCATTCTTGTCCACTAGATGGGGATGCAATCTTTAGAAATGTGGTCAAGCGACTGGTATAAACGTTTATCCCCATTTCAATCTACAGTTATATTACGGACGTAAACTTGCTTGGTTATCTAGGCTGGTCATATTGGTTTGTTGTTGTGGCTTTTCATTAGGAAATCAGCTTGATGAAAAATAATTTACTTATTTATTTGGTCTCTTGACAAATCTCTTATTTTAACTGGATTTTATTGATAATTTTTTTTCTTTTCTTTAGCCAGTATGAACGAAGCACTGCTGTATTTTCATTCTTGTCCACTAGATGGGGATGCAATCTTTAGAAATGTGGTCAAGCGACTGGTATAAACGTTTATCCCCATTTCAATCTACAGTTATATTACGGACGTAAACTTGCTTGGTTATCTAGGCTGGTCATATTGTAGCTGTGCATCTGGGTAAAACACAATCCACCATACTTACTAACTTTTGTTGCTACAACAGTGACGTTGTGTTCTGTATTTCTCTCTCTGTCCAGGGCTTCACTGACAGACAGAGTTCCTTCAACAGGGTCAATGTCAAAGTGGTTTTCAGAGTCCTTTCTCCACTCAACTGAATATCTACAAACCAATTCATCAAAGACAACAACAACACATAAGTGGATCAACCACATTAAATGTATAATTTACAGTTCAAGGAATTTCATTAGGTCTCTGGTGAAGATTAAAATTAGAACTCATACATAAAATGTTTGGTTAATAATTAATTGCAATGCCAGTTACAGAAATACCTACATTTTTCAGAGTTTAATGAACATCTTTCAAAAAAGATCCAGTAGTTTATCCAGTTTATGAAAATTCTGTCATTATTTACTTGTACAAAATAAGATTTTAACAGCCAAACAGTTTTGGTGTCCATTGACTTCCAATGTGTGGAAAAATAAACTGAGACATTTCTCAAAATATCTTATTTTGTTTTTCACAAATAAAAGAAAGTCATGCAGGTTTGAAACGACATTAGGGTGAGTAAATTCATTTTGTGTGGACTATCTCTTAAGTATATTTTGTGGGGGCATTCAATAAGTGGCAAGCTGAAAGGTGAAAGCTAATAGTGGGGTCTTTGATTCTTCTATATGTTTTCAGAACAAATTACTCATTCAGGCTCCTTCTCTGATTTAATGACCCCTCCTGTAGGCTATGCCAGTAGATGGCTACCAGTGAGTGAGTCAGTTTTGAGTCTAATTCATGACTGATCTAGCCCAAAGGATTCAGTGTTTGAGTCTTGAATGTAGTTCAGCTCCGTTTGGTCTTGTTCTACTTCTGACTGAATTCCTGACTGGAGAGAGAAAAAAAAAGCAGAACTATTTCTCATTTCTTTAATTCTCACTTTAATTGTGCATAAGGCTCCTTTACTGAACCTACAAGGATACAGAGTGCAATGGTTGGGTTCCTGGAAGAAAAACTTCTCAACTATGAAGTTGTTAGATGGTATATGCTTTTGCTGAAGCCATCAACCTGCATTATTTCACCTTCCCTCATTAAAGCCTTTTTATTTTTGTTTGATTTTTAAATTTGTTCTTTATTATTAACTGTGATTATTATTGAATTTCTATTACTATTATTTGGTTTTGTTCATGGCTTACAACACTTTAATGAAGACTTTTTAAAAGTTGTTTGTTGTTTGCTTAAAATATTTGTTCAGAAACACTGAAAGTCTAGATGATAATGAAAACAAATGTCTGTTGGATTTTCATTGACTTACATACAGCTAATGTAGGTGTAATTGGTTTCATTTCTTTTACAAACTTTCTGAATTTAGTTTTGACTGCCATCTACAGTAGAGCCCTGAAATAAATGAATATTAAAGTAAACTAATTTCCATCAATACATGTCACAAAGTCTAGCTACATTACTCCATATCCACTGGCACAATGGCAATTCATGATGTCAGACGAGGAAAGTTTATCAAAAAATAAAATAAAAGCACATGTCCATTATAATTACTGAGCAAATACACAAGCTGAAACTGAATTTGATCACTTTTTTTTTGCTAGTTTTTGTATTAATACTGTATCAATTATTATATATCTAAATGATATTATTAAAATAACTCTAATCATATACATTTGATTAAATACATAAAATCGGTCAGTAGATGCTTGATATTGTAGAATAATATTTATACACATTCTGCTTCCTGTCTGTATGTGTAGGAGCACTCTTGGTCACTTTGAACTAGTCTGCTACTTTTCAGCCCACTGCTGTGACCTGTCAGGCCTGTGTCTTGTGTTTTCCTCCCCTCATGTGCTCCATTACCCAGTTTCTCCCGTGTCTGATTATGTTCACTGTTTCCAGGTGTTCCCTCATTAGTTTCCATGTTTTTTTATTTATTACTCCACTGGTTTCAGTTTTCCCAGATTAACTTCCATGTGTATTTAAGCCCTGTGTTTCCTGAGTCCTGCGTGCTGTCTTATACGTCTATTCCCCCTGCTCTCTGTGTGTGTGTGTGTGTGTGTGTGTGTGTGTGTGTGAGCGTGCGTGACAAATGAGGACATACATTTGTAAAATGACAAAGGTATGACATATGTATTACAAGGAGAAGGTGACTTTTCAGGACATTACCCCATGTCCCCACTTTTCAAAACTCTTATAAATCACACATAATGGAATGTATTGAACATCTGAAATAGCACAAAGTTTCCTGTAAGAGGTAGGTTTAGAGGTAGGGTTGGTGTAGGGCATTAGAATATACGGTCTGTACAGTATAAAAACCATTACGCCTATGGGATGTCCCCACTTTTCACAAACACAAACCTGTGTGTGTGTGTGATGGTAAAATAAAGGCAGCTCCTTGTGAAATTATCCCCCGTCTCCTCGCTCCAACACAGCAGCAGTATCGTGACATGACCTGCAGAGACCCCCGTTTCTTTAATATAAGCTGCCTAGTGGATCTGTAAAGAAAGAGGAAGTCTGCTCTTTCCCTGTAGCACCAGACCTTTATCAGGGTAACATTCCTGCCCCATCCTTTCTGTCTCAGGTGTCTCTCTTCCTGCTCGCCCAAGCTTTTCTGCTATTCAAGCAAAACCTCAGTGAGAGTCTCAACTGGATTCTTCTAGTAAGTGTCACTGAACTTAGTGACTTCACAAACTGCTGTCAAATCACCCCTTATCAAATATTCCATCTTCTGGTAAAGTTTTATAAGTTAGAAATTTAAATAAAGAAAATCTGACTTGAGAGGGGTAAGTATATATACTGTATATATATATACATATATATATATATATATATAATGTAGCTTTTCACCAGCATTTAGCTGTTAAACAGTAATTAAAAATAATAAATGCAGCCTTTTAACTCAGTCTTTTAATGTTTATAAGTTATCATTAAAAATGTGTTCACGTATGAAGAAAATTAATGGGAATTTTACTTCTGAAACCCTGTTTGTAGAGTGATGAATGATCCAGAAGCTATATAAAATTTTGTTCGCACTGTCCGAGAGAGAAAAATAACCCCACCAAAAAAAATTTATAAATGCCTATTTACTTACAAAACTATATTTACACCACTCTACGATTTAAGCATGTATTTAGTGAGGTCACAAGCACAACAATACGGTATTATATGTGTAAAACAAAGTGTGATATATGCAATAGTAAACAAAAATTAAATATTGAGTATCTTCAATTTTACAGACAATACTGACAGTTACACTTTATGTATTTTTGCTCTGCCATATAGTTCCAAATGAAGTCAATGCAGACAATGAGACATCTGCCATGTCTCGGCGAAACTAACACAGCTGTGGTGTTCCTGAATTAATCCAATTGTTAAATTAATCTTATGGTACAGACAAGCGCAGTGATACAAACACTAAAATGTGCCTTCCACTTTGTTTAATGTCCATCCCACAAAAGGTACTTTGTATGCATCAATAAATAATGACATAATAAATCTGTATATAACAATACATCTAATACAAAATAATTACCAATCATAGCTGAAAGAGAAAAAAATTATTTAATTCAATTAATATTTACCTATAAATGCAACACTCAATTTAACAAATAGACGATCTACAGATGTGAAATATTTAACAAGAGCTGAGAGTTCCTAAATTACTACCACATCCATGTATGTACCTCCATGAAATATTCATGTCAAAACAAATGCTTTCATAAAGACAATGCACTTGTGTCAAGCTCTCAGATGCTTTTAACATCAACATTGCAGCTAACACTTTCAGGCATTTAAATGAAGACCTAAAAAAAGCAAATGTGCCACATTAAATAAGGTCCATGCCTGCAAACTGCACCAGAAGTTTGTCAGAGTGGATAGAATCAAAGCAGTGCATGCACACTCTGCTCAAAACAAGATTGCCAAATGGACTGAACCCAAGGGACTACAGTGTGTGTGTGTGTGCGCGTGTGCGTGTGTGTGTATGGGGTTCTCACATACCTAACAGGACTGTTGCCTACATCTAGGTCCTCAGCTGTGACGGCTCCGATGATGATGCCCACTGGTGTGTCCTCATATGTCTCCATGTTATAAGACAGCCGGCTGAAGACAGGAGGTTCCTCCACATCCAGAACATTCACTTTCAATGTGGCAGTGTCCTTAAAAGGTCCCAAATGTAGGAACCGATGATCAATAACTGCATTTGAAGCTTCTACTTTAAAGGTGTAGGCTGTTCTGGTCTCGTAGTCCAGACGCTGTAAAATGAATAATGACACATCATCAGTCTTAAACCCTTTAGGAATGATCTCTGTTTTATTGTCATTTGTGGCAGCAGAGAGGAAGTGATATCAAATTGTTTGTGGCTGCATACTGTCAAAGAATAACAAAACACCACCAACTTTCATAAAACCCATGATCTAAGTAAAAATGCTTTCCATAACAGAGGGCTTGTGCAGAGCTCAGACGCGAGGGGGACGGAAAGGAAAGGCTGCCACTCAATCAACTCTGGAATCACAGGAGGGAGAATAAAGGAAGAGAAGTCTTTGGCCATTGGCTCTTGCATCACTGTGCTCATTCAGCCATATAAAGCCAGAATTTGGCACAGTCACACCTGAAAAGCAAAGAACTGTGGCAGCTAAGCACAACCGAACAGACTGCAGGTTTCAAGTTCAGCAACAGAATTAAAAAGTCACATGAATCCATGATGAAATTGAAAATGCTAATAACATCATCTTCTATGACATCACTATAATCTATTAACATTATTAAATGATTTTTTATATATATATATATGTGTGTGTGTGTGTGTGTGTGTGTGCGCGCGTTTTTGTGACAAATGAGGACATACATTTGTATAATGACAAAGGTATGACATAGGTATTACAAGGAGAAGGTGACTTTTCAGGACATTACCCCATGTCCCCACTTTTCAAAACGCTTATAAATCACACATAATGGAGTGTATTGAAAATCTGAAATAGCACAAAGTTTCCTGTAAGGAGTAGGTTTAGGGGTAGGGTTGGTGTAGGGCAATAGAATATATGGTCTGTACAGTATAAAAACCATTACGCCTATGGGATGTCCCCACTTTTCACAAACACAAACCTGTGTGTGTGTGTGTGTGAGAGAGAGAGAGAGAGAGACTTTTTATAATTTATAATAAATGTCTTAGGAAAGGAATGACAAACAAAGCATGACAGTATGGAGCAAGAAAATGTGTTATTTCTCAGATAATAAGAGCGACTGCAGAACACAAATGATAAATCATGTCCTGCTGATTAGTTTTTCCACTAATAGTTGCCTGATTGCCTGTGCATGATTGTGGCTTGTAAAAATGAACTAAAAATGTACCTAGAAATGTGCTTCATGTGCTAACGTCTATATTAATTGATTTTATTCAAGTCTATTTAAGTCTCAAATATTATTTACCATTGCTTAATCAACTTCAGAAAATTAGGTTACAGTTAAAAAGACTTAAAAAGGACTTGTTTTGGTCATGAACGTATTCGTATTTGCAACAGAAGCTGTTCTTGAAGAACATTTTTTTGATAAATCTTCAGCATCTTTATCAAAATATTAAAGAAAATATTTCAGCATGCCTTACACAAATAATTCCATACCAGAATCCAGTGTGTTGATCAGAAAAGAAAACCTTTTACTGCACTGGGGTTGGTTAATGACTTTAACCGAGTGTAGAAAGAACAATTTGTCCCAGTTTGTTGCAAGCCAAAAACAATAGACATAAATCTTCCAGAACAACTTAGGGAATATAAGTCCTCAACAATGTTGAAAGAGACACTTTCATAAAAAAAAAAAAAAAGAAAAAAACAGATTACAAAGACAACTTACTAAGATTTTTACAAAGAGCTTAGTACTACTTAAAAAGCATCAACTTAATGTCTGCACCACACTGCTGTTCTGCAGGAGGTCTTATCATTGGTGACAGCAAACAAAAATTATGTCTGTCATTTCAAGCTAGCGTTGAGATGCGTGTCTGCCTCACTGTCTGCAGGCTGAGCTAACCATAGTGCTGACCATTCTGAAAGCATAACAACCTCAGACATGACGGGACAGAGAGCCAGCAGGCCAATCAGAAACACACAGTGGGCCCCTGTATTGCAACTTTTGGACATGTAAAACCTGTAGCATTAAAATTTAGCTCACAAATTCTGACCTTAGAGAGAGAATACCATCAATATGACGTTTCAATCTGGTCTACATTAAACAAGCATTAATTGTACATGTCTAAACATGTCCTGTTTCTGTTCTTTGTGTCCTTCTGTGCTTCTATAACAGTCACATTGGACACCTTTAGATGGCACTGTTTATCTAGTCGTTTCAGAGTCTTCTGAGGCTGTTCCTCTGAGAATTAACACAAAGGCCCGTTTCTCTATTTTGGATTCTCTCCACTCAAAAAGAGAATGCTAATCAGATGCTAGTCCATATAGTTGTTTTGTTATTCAATACAGTGCACATACCAAAACTTTAATTAATTCCCCTACTAATTGACATTTATTCATGAATTCTTAATTGCACTTCTACACTGTAAGCTGTGAAGTATTCGAAATCTGTTCTAACTTTGAATTATTGTTTCCTCAAATAAATGTAAAGGCATTTTGAAGTTGTTAAGTACATTAAGGCAAAGGGAACCCTCTTTATGTACAATAAAACAACTTTTATTAAGCTACTGATATGACCGGATTCTTCATCTCATATGCATGTACATCATTTTTCAATACTGGTCATTCTACGGTACATGCAAAATGTTTTCAGTGAGGAAGGATTAATATAATCCCTTATGTAGGAAGGCCAAAGTCCACCTTTCAATCCTTTTGTTAATATAGAGACAATTATCCTTTCAACCCATTACCTTAGTAGATCCTCTTTATGCTCAAAGCAGCACTGAGCCCATAAAGCCACGAGACCCCAAATGTTCAGCCTCAGTGTTTCAGAAAAGTCCCTGCGTTGCAGAGCAGGGGGATGATGGAACAGCTCGTCAAAGAGAAATAAAGGGAGAGGGAAGTCTGTTATTGAGGACAGAGGGAAGAGGGGGCATTGTCATTGACCTTCCTCCATGCCCCACGGTGAGGATCCCTCATATCCATTTCCAGACATTTTTTGGGTCACCAGATATGGCACACCCATTTTGCAATGTAAGGACTATGTCACTTTGTCCTGTGCAGCCTCAGCTTGGGGAATAAAAAAAGTGGAAAATAAAAGAGGGAATGAAGGACAGGAAAATATTTTCACTGTACCTTTTATGATCTACTGTATTTATTGCACATATTAATGTCATTAATTATGATTAGTCAAACATTAAAATTTGCAATTGCAAGTAATATATTTTTTTACACCGAATCACCAAATTAATGTGACAACACAGTATTTAATGCCATTTCTTACTAAGTACTTTGAATGAAGGCCAGTATGACCAATACCAAAAATTACAATTATTTATAAATTATTTGTTACATATTCAATTAAAAAAATATTCACAGATATATGAATACACAAACACACACACACACACACACATAGTAGATTCAGTATGCATAATATTAACATTAATTACAACTTATAATTAAAAAAAGGGTTAAATGACTGCACATTGATCCAAATTTAACTCAGTAAGGACATTCTATACTGGTTTGAAGTTGCTGACAAATTTAAATTTCCCTTTTTACCTTTTCATTGAAACTTAGATTTAGGCCTATATTGGTAACACGTTAGTTTAAGGTCCAATTCTCACTAACAACTAGTTGCTTATTAGTATATAGCATATGCTGACATAATGTTAATCATTTTAATCCTCCATACCAGTGTGTTTTGGTCCTGTTTTCATTTTTAGTTCCTAAAACTGCATTAAATTTACTGAGTCATGTTGATGCTTTACAATTTTTTTTTTATTATTAATTTGGTCCACATGACATTTTTATTTGCTATTGAAAAAAACAAAATTTTTGCAGTCTTTGCAATCATATCCTTCAGTGGAAGTTTTTATTCACCAGCAAAACTAAGAGACACATCAGTAACACTTTATTTTAAGGTCAAATTCTCACCAATAACTAGTTGCTTATTAGCATGCATATCACTAGCATATTGGTGGTTTATTTGTATTTATAAAGCACATATTAATGCCTTATTCTTGACTATATTTTGCATCCATTAATGCTACTCCATACCTAAACAGCCTTACTAACTATTAATAAGCAGCAGATTAGGAGTTTATTGGGGCAAAAGTCATAGTTAATAGAAATGTAATAGTAAGAACAGGTCCCCAAACTAAACTGTGACCTATGTTACATACTAGTTTATCTAACATTCTATGTCTAGAGCTAGTGCTTTTTAAATGGCAAAAAATAATGACACCAAAGTGTTCCATATTTGTGGAATGTACCATGAAACAAAGCATAGCCCCCTATTGCTTTCATATTCTTCATATGCGTCGCTCCATCTGCTCTAGAGAGAAATGAATAGCAGCAGTGGACTGTCCACAGACTACACTAGCTTTGAGTAAAGAAAGAGTAACCTCTCTACTCACTGAAGAGCACACCTTGCTTCAAAGGCATTTGTTTTAACTAAGCACTTATAGCACAGCCAGCAAGTCTGTGATTGGCCATGGAACAGGGCATCTGAGGGGATTTCTACTTGTCACATCACATCAAAATATAGATGCTCTGATTGCCATGGGTGCACTCAGTTATTAATGGCCACTAAATATAAAACTATTGGGCTCTATCTTGGGGGAACTCAAACAATTTTGAAATCTCCCGAGAGGTCAGCAACCACAATACATTTCTTTTTTCACATGTTGGCAAAACAGGAATGGGAAAACAATGTTCTAAGGACATCCACAAAGCACATAATGAATTGATAAGTCCAAGAGCAGGCATTGCATTTTGTGGGTCAAGCATTTGCGCTTTTATGGCTTTATGCATTATTCATTCGGGATGCTATGGATGGCCATCCAATAATAATATATGACTCACCTCAGAGCAAACACACACGAGCCTCTGAATGAAAGAGCACGAGGGGTTATTGCTATCATCCTTGGATTCACGTGTGTTTGAAAAAGAGATGCAAATGGCATTGTGATTTGCATCTGATGTCATCCAACCTTAGCTAGCAAATAAATATTGCCTAAATAAACATCCAAATACTGTCAAATAATTTACTTACTGTGCAGTAAAGGAGCTCCTGTTTCATGTACAATAATGCATAAGCTACATACGGAACTGTGCTGTATTCACTCACTTTTGCTTAAATAACTTTAAATAAAAATTATACAATCATTAAGTCATGGCAAAATGTTTTTTTTTAAATTACTTTATTTTAGAAAATTAAATGGTTAGTTCAGCCAAAAAGGAAAATTAGCCCATACATTACTCACCCTCATGTCATCCTAGGTGTATATGACTTTCTTATTTTAGACGAATCCATTCGGAGTTGTATTAATAATTGTCTTTGATCTTTCAAGTTGTTTAATGGCAGCCAGCGGGTGTTGCATGCATCAGTCCAAAATAGCTGAAATAAAAAGCGCCCATCCATAATAAAAAAGTGTCTCACACAGCTCCAGGGGGGTGAACAAAGTTCAACTGGGGGGTGCGTTTTTGTAAGAAAAATAACCATTTTTAAAACGTAATAATCAATTTAATCTAGCTTGCGCTCACTGTTGTACACGGAAGCAGCTCCAGGAGGATGACGTAAGACGGCGGCGTTGCGCATGCACCGTTCAGAAGTGACATACGGGGAAGCACAGGGGAGAGATCAAAACAAAACAACGGTCACTAATTAGAAGAACAAAAGGAGGATTTGTAAAGAAGAATGTCAGAGGATTTCGATATAAGCCAAGAGGAGACTGGTTTTCCTTTGCTAAAGTAAGGAGACTTTGCTTCCTTTACTCCTGTTAACAAACGTTGGTTTTCACGAGACTCACATGCACGTGCAACGCCGACATCTTACGTCATCCTCCCGGAGCTGCTTCCATGTACAACTGTTGGCGAAAGCTACATTAAAGTGATTATTATGTTTTGAATATGGATATTTTTCTTACAAAAACACATCAATTCGCTACAGGAGGCCTTTGTTCATCCCCCGGAGCCGTGTGAGACACTTTTTATTATGAATGGGCACTTTTTATTTCACTCCGACTGGATTCGTCTGAAAGAAGAAAGTCATATACACCTAGGATGCCTTGAGGATGAGTAATTTATGGGCTAATTTTCATTTTTGGGTGAACTAACCCTTTAATGTAACTAATTTTAACTTTTTAAGTTATAGAGACTGAATTTGGTTTAATTTTTTTATTTTTTTAAATTGAAGTAGGTAAAAATGATTTATAGTGTAATAGTCTTCTCCTCTCATTCATGTTCATATATACTGTATTTAAATATGATGCATCAAAACAGAGGAATGGAAATCAGGTTTGGAACGACCATCCCTTTAATGCAAAATGTCAATAAGTATTAAAACTATAAAATGTAAATAAGAAATAAATGTACACTGCTGTTCAAAGGTTTGGGGATAGTAAGATTTTATAATTTTATTTAGCAAAGACACATTAAAATTGATAAAAAGTGAAAGTAAAGACATTTATAATGTTACAAAAGATTGTTATTTCTAATAAAGGCTGATTTTTAATCTTTCTATTCATCAAAGAATCCTGAAAAAAAAGTGGATCACGGTTTTCAAATAAAAGCAGTTGTTTTCATCATTGATAATATTAATAAATGTCTCTTGAGCAACAAATACGCATAATATAATGATTTATGAAGCATCATGTGACACTGAAGACTGGAGAAATGGTTGCTGAAGCTTTGCAATCACAAGAATAAATTGCATTTTAAAATATATTATTGTAATAATATTTCATAATATTACTGTTTTTACTGTATTTTTCATCAAATAAATGTAGTCTTGGTAAGTATGAGAGACATTTTTCAAAAATATAAATAATCTTACAGACCCCAAACTTCTGAACATTACTGTAATTATAAAAACGCAGTCTAATCTCTTTTTTTGTTTTGATACTAAAAATGACTACAAGAAGCCATATTCTACCTTTTTCAGTATGACTGTTCCCTCATGAGAGTTCTTATTGCTGTAAATATCAAACATTGAGCCTCCGTCACCAGGAACGATGCTATATTCCACTTCAGCATTCTTCCCAGAGTCCAGATCATGAGCTTTGACCCTCCCCACCGACGAGCCCACAGGTGAAGATTCAAGAACACGCAGGTGAAAGATGCCTGTCAAGATTCACAAACACCTTTATCAGTGATCAAACTCTCCCCTCAGTATTAGATGTAAGACTCTACATTTAGAAATTACTCTGAGAGGTAGTTAACAATAATCATCCACTAATCACTTCAGCAGCTCTGGAGGAAAATGCTAATGCTAATCACATTTGTAAATTCAACAATATTCAGTTGTTTGTGTTTGGCAAGAGCCCTTGAGGACTTAATCATGGCCAATTGTAAATCTGAAGTTCTTCTCAGGTCATGCATTACTGTTCAGTCCCTGTTTTGAAGATAGCCCCTCTTTGTTATCAGTGCCAGCCATTAAGCGAATTAAATAATTCAAATAATGGACTCATGTTTAAGGTTTCCAAAGAGCAAAGCAAATATGAAACCCAATTAAATTCACTTTAAGATAAACCCCAGGGATAAACTGCTGCTGATATAGAAATGCTGGCAGAATAGTGTAAGCTTTATTGCACTCTATAATGATTCCTTCATGTCTAGAAACAGCTGCTTTTGAACATACTTTTAGAAAACCGTGGTGGGTTGTCGTTGACATCACGGAGAGTGATATTGATGGTTGTGGTCCCAGCTAAGCCCCCGAGCTGGCCACCCATGTCCTTAGCCTGTATGACCACCTGGTACATTTCTTTAACCTCCCTATCCATGTTGGGTAAGGCAACTCTTATGATGCCTAATGCAGAGAGAGAGAGAGAGAGAGAGAGAAACAGAGAGCATGTGAGAACATATACATTTTACCATAAACTGATAGAGACTTAATATCAGATAAGTAAATAATGCTAACAAAAATAAAGGTAATACAATATATATATATATATATATACCCCAGTCTTCATTTCCAATGTTGAAAACAATTGTGCTATTTATCCTTTTTTTCAAGAATTGATAAATAGAAATATATATATAGCATTTATTCGAAATATATATATATATATATATATATATATATATATATTTCGAATAAATGTGGTTCTTTTGAACTCATCAGCTTTTGTAACAATGCAAAAGTATTTCTGATCAATTGAATGCACCCTTGCTGAAAAAAAAATTCACTGAGCCTTAACATTTAAAATGTAGCATACTTCCCTACTATAGATGATTGTTGCACAAAAAAATAGAAAGTTCTTTCTTGATCTAATAGTTGCCTAGTTTTTTATGCAAATTTCCAAACGTAGTGACATTTACTTAAAACAATTTAGCAATTGAACTCAATGAAAGTCATGCAAACTGTTGCCTTTAGAGCTACAGTTCCGTTTTTACAGCGATGAACAGTAAGATGATTCTTACAGTTCAACCCTCTTGTGATGAAAATAAAAGATCTACAGCAATATGAAGAATTGAACAGGTCATCATTAATCTGTGCTGCATTGCTTTTGTGAGCTGTATCATTAAAAGGCAAACCCCTGACATTCTTCTAAGGACTAATCAATCCTAATAGTTCATCTCTCAGAGGCTACGTATAAACATGAGACCAGGCTGCTCAGAGGAGTTACTTTTTGATCAGGAGATGACGGCATGACGCAAATTGAATAAAATGCCAAAGGCAAAGCTGTAGAAAGGCTTTGGGCAGAGGGGTGTGCTGAATTCTACAGAATGCACAAGACCATGTGTTAAATCTCTCACCTGTCTTGGGGTCAACAGAGAAGTAGGGCTGCCCATGAAGGATGCTGTACACAATCCGCGCGCTGTTTCCATAAGTAGGGTCATCCGTGTCAGTGGCGGTTATTTGTGTCACATATGAGCCTGATTACAAACATGAAAAAGACCATAAAATACAGTCAAATTACACTAGAATTGCCACATACAAATAATAATGCTGAATACAGACCATATTTATAATCCTCAGACACTTCCCAATAAAAAAATATTGTAAAAGCAGTTGTTCTTATGATTGTACTGCAATTGTAAACAAGCATACATTGTGTAACAGTGTATGGTTTATGTTTGTCTGAATTGGTTTAATCATGTTTCAGCCAGAGGAGAAAGGACTCCTTGCTGAGTCTTGGTTCCTCCGAGATGTTCCTCCTCATCAGCTTAAACATCTCAGAGAGATTTTGCTTGTCAGTGTCGCCTATGGCTTGCTCACTGGAGGTTGTAAAGCACTATTCTTCGTAAAGCTGCTTCAGAACAGTGTGCATTAAAAGCAGTATACAAATAGCAAGCATACAAATATACAGTATATGAACCTCCTAATGATTGAATCCAGTTTTTTCAATCAGACCCATTGCCACAGGTGTGTAAATTCAAGCACCTAGCCATACAGTCTGCATTTACAAACATTTGTGAAAAAAATGGATCGTTCTGAAGAGCTCAGTGAATTCAAGTGTGGTATTGTGATACGATGCCACCTTTGCAATAAGTCAGTTTGTGAAATTTCATCAATAGATATTCCACAGTCAATTGTATGTGGTATTACTGGAAAGTGAAAGCATTTAGGAACAGCTGCAACTCAGCCATGAAGCAGGAGATAAAGTCACAGAGCGGGGTGACCGAGCGCTGAGGCACATAGTGCGTAAAAGTCACCAACCCTCTGCTGACTCTATAGCTGAATAATTTCTAACTTCCACTGGCATTGATACCATCACAAATTGTACAGCAGGAGCTTCATGGAATGGGTTTCCATGCTGTCTCACATCACCAAGTACATTACCAAGCGTCGAATGGAGTGGTGTAGCATGCACCTATAGAACAGTTGAAACATGTTCTATAGAGTGAAGAATCATGCTTCTCTATTTGGCAGTCTGATGGGCAAGTCTGGATTTGGAGGATGCCGGGAGACTGTTACCTGTAATTTTTTCAGGGGCTGGGCTTTTTCAGGGATGTATTTAGAATTCAATATCATTAAAGTCCTTATTGGTGTAATGGTCAGGTGTTCCAATACTTTTTTCCATATAATGTATATAATGATAGGTTTTATATAGGTTTTAATATAAATATGAACTCCACCACATTACATATCATTATGTTTGATATATTTATGATTTCTAAATATATGAAGACCAGAGACACATCTTTTTGCACATCTATTTTGTAAAAGCAGGTTATAGATCTTATTGTTCATCCATGTATATTTATTTTTTAATGTTTGATCAAAATGTCATAACTTGATCTTCCAATGAATCATGTTGTATGCAGGACTTTTCCAGTCATTTAGTCTGCTTAAAACCCGCCTCTTCATTATCAACTGCAAGCTTGCATTCATTTTTGAGTGCAACACCCACATCTCAAAATCCAATAAACAACCTATTTTTCCCACCATATGTTTTTATTTATTTTTTATTTTTTTTGGATAATCTGTTACACTCAAAAGTGCATCACAATAGACCTTAGTCTGGGTTGCACCATATTTAATTTTTGACAAGAATGAAAATGAGGCTGTGAGGGATATAAGTACAGTGCATTTAATGGACTGTACTGTTGTTTAACAAAATACTGATTGGCTGACAAAACGTCTTTCCGGAAAAAAAGAAATGTAGACAAAAACAACAGTTTTATGGAGGATCTAGGACCTTTATACAGTGCCTGCCACTGTAAGTTCATCCCTAAAAGCCTAATTTGTATCTGCATTAAATTCAATAAGACGTCTAATCTAATTAAGGTATATACGGAAGATAATATTTTTATTGTGACTACATATTGCTCAGTTACTTGTCATACTTTTTGAACTAACCAATTCATATCTTTTCTTGCAAATGTAGCCTATATATAAAAAAATGTGAGTAGGCTGCATACTGTCGCATCTATTACATTAGGATACAAATCTAAAAATGGCCTTCAAAGTAATCAATTCAAAATGGTGTTTAGAAATATGAGTCAGAACAGTTGTGAATGCTTTCCTAAGGGGAAAAGCAGTTTTCCACTGCATTTGATGTAAGATTAAGCATTTGGGATTAGTTATCAGACTAGCTGGCCAGCTGAAATGTGCCAAAAGCCTTCTAAAACCATAAAAACAGACCAGCTTAACCAGACTGGGAGACCAACTAATCACCTTAGGCTAGTTTAAGTGTTTTTTTTGTGTGTTTTTTTTCAGCAGGGATAAATCAGTGCCGTTAATTACTACGAGCAACAAACTAATGTCTAATATCTTTCACTGACCTTGAATATGTATGTGGACAATGAAGAACAAGAGTTCAGATCGTCACATTAAGAATGAATGGCTCTCATCTTACTTTAAAGCAACATGCTTTGAGGCCAGGATTTTCTCACATATCAAACATCCAACCATCTGGGACATAATGAGAAGTGAACTCACCGACGGGTGACATCTCTGGGACGCTGGCAGAGTATGGACCCTCTAGGAACCTTGGCTCATTGTCATTGATGTCCTGGACTTTGATAATAAACTCTGACTCGGGCTCTAATGGTCTGCCCGTGAGCATGTCAACAGCCTGCGCTCTCAGTGTGTAATAAGGCTTCTCTTCTCGGTCCAGGCTCCTTAAGGCATGGATGTCTCCAGTCCTTGGCTCAATGGTGAAAACAGAGCCAACTCCTTCACCTGAGAGTGTGTACTTCACCATACTATCTCCCTTATCCAGGTCAGAGTGAAGCTGAAATGTGAAAAGCGACAGTCAGAAATCTCATTGGGAGCTGGTGAGTAAATGACTACTCATTACTGTAATTTACCTGTAAACATATGCAAATACATGCTAATACAAAATCAGCATACAAAAGCCAGAGACATTTCTGTTACAAAATATGATCATTTACAAAACACAAATCTATCATACACAATGAGACTATGACAATTTATTCTAATACATTTGCTTATAGTAAATCAAATTTGGCCTATCCAAACCAATCCTACATTATTTCAGTCTCTGATCATGTGACTACATGTTGGCTAACCGTGTGGGTGGCATATTATTACCAATACAGTTTGAGGATGTCCAAAGAGGATTGATGTGGATAACCCTCAGTTATTTATTTTCTGTTAGTGCCTCAACAACATTAATTTATTTACAGCACAGATATTCTTCAGCTGAAAATAGAATGGCTTTACTGAAGGTTTTATGGAATTCTCTTTTTCAGAAAAGATAACTGCTAAATAAAATATTACAAAACATAAGGACTTTACGATTGTAAAGTGTTGCAGGAAACTGTTATCTTTTCAACTCAGAGGAAGCATAAGGAAATACCAATTTTTTCAGCTGGGGTGAAGCTGAGTTTGACTGTAAAGGAAGGATTAAGTTTTAAGTCCTGGAATTAATAGTCTGAAAGGGCGGAAAAATCACTGATGTTCAAACGGAGGGGGAACTCTGTACTGCTAAATCCTGTCAGATAGCAGATAATCCATGAGCTACAACCCAGCCTTGATAGAGCTAATCTGTGTCAAGTTTGTTATTTATATCACTAAACCTTTATGAATGTCAGTGAGGCCAGTAAATTAAAAACACACTATCCTAAATTGGTGATGTAAGTGCATGGTCTCACACAATGTTAGAGGTAAAATGTTCAGAGGTAAGGAGGATGCTGAGCGTTGAGAGTAAAATACCAAGAAAAAAAATCAAGGCTCACAATAAGAGTTATTTTCTACTGAAAAGGTCAAGTTAGGAAAGAAAATGTGACAGTGGGGTAATATATCCTCACTGCAAAGGGCAAACAAGAAAGTGTAACTTGCTTCACATTGAAAAATAAAGACAAAAATAAAACTTGCAGAGATGTTGGATAATTTTGTCAGCATTAAAGAAAATTAGACAAATTCTCTGACTTTTAGAAATGAAAATGGTTAGTTTGAATCACAATTTTTATTTCAGAGGACGATTCCTAATCTGCTTGGGTCTAATTGTTGTATCTGCAATAATAATTGTAATAACTCCACAAAATGTTAAAATTAGAATCCAGTTAAAGGCTTTCTTGTGACAACCACTGAAACATTATATATTTGACATTATATATTTGTTCAGATTGCTTCACCAATTACCACTCAAAGTTATACGATACAGTATTTTTCTACAATATACTTCTAGTGAGAAAGAACCGAATGTTTAACCGAGCACCCGACAATCTCAAACTTCAAATATTGTTGCAGTTGATGGATAGTCAAACTGACATTTATTCAAACTGACCCATTAATTTTTAAACAAGATATAACTGAATTGAGAGTAGCCTATAATGTGCAATGCACATTGTAAGTGCAAAGCACACAGTGCTTGCTCTAATTAGAGTTTTTCTTGCTTGCTCTAATTAGAGTTTTCCTGCCATGTAACTTTTATGTAACATTTCATGCGCAATGCCACTTTAATTGTGGCGGAAGCTCAAACATTACATGATGGAATGTGTAATAATTTCCCATGATGCCACCTCTGATCACAGTCTCCCTCAACTAATAATTACAGATATGGCAGGTGTGAAGCCACAATGGCAAAGTTCAAAGTGTTATGATCTAATGAAAATGCACTGGGACCTACTATCTTAAGTGTGCAGAGTGTCAGACAAAACACAGTAAATGTAAGCTGGAAAATATCTAACACTACTAAATTAACTGCACTACTAATTTATCTACATTTTTCAGCAGCACAACAGTTTTACACAAATCTAATTTTGCTTTACGGTCAAGTAAGCTGAGGCAATAATCAAATGATCTTTTATATTCTTTCATTCATACATTTAATGTAAATTAGTTCATGCGATTAATTACATGTAATAATTTTTTTAAATGCATATTCACAGACGTATTTTTGGCAGAATTGTATGTCCTTTTTAAAGAAAATATTTAGTCAAAAATCTGCTGATCATCACAACATGTTGATTAGAATGCTTATGTATCTGCTGAAGTATACTCTCACTCTAATTGACATTATCTTTGTTTTGTGACAAAATAAATGGGGCTGTAAATCTAAAATAAATTATATTAACAACAACTGACTGAACATATTGAATTTCAGATGAACTGCAATTTCCCCTTCAGGAACTCGAGCTGCGTCGAGATCGCTTTGGGAACGCCCCTGCGTGACCGCGTTCTGAAGCACGTGTAAAATCAGTCCAATGGAGCAGCGAGACGTCACGAGCGGGGTGACATGAGCGCCAGGAAGTATAAAAGTGCATCCGGCAGAACGCAAGTTAGCTTCTGCTATTCAGTAGCTCTCTGTGTATGTGTCAGTCTATTTACTGTTGTCTGTCAGTCCACAAGCATTCAAAAGAATATATCAAAGTCTAAACTAATATATATGGCGAGCAAACGGCATTACAGACGTTGTGTGCCTCCCTGCCCACACTATCTGGCAGCGGGGGATACACACGATCTGTGTGTTGTTTGTTTAGGCGCGGAGCATGCACGGTCAGCTTTCGAGGAGCTGATTGTCATCACTGCGAGTTACTCTCGCTGCGTATGCTCCGCTCTCGCCTGGCTGTGTTTGATGAGAGCGGCCAGGCTCGCGATCCCGCTGGCAGCGGTCCCGCTGTTGCCGAGGCACAGCGTAGACTATTGTTATGGGGATCGCAGGTGGATTTAGTGGAGGGATCCGAGACGGGCTCGTCCTTTTCTCGGTGCTCATCCTCTAGATCCGTGGCTCTCTCTCAGTGTTCGGAAGCCCTTCCGTTTTTCCCCGATCTCCATGCTGAGGTGTCAAGATGGTGGGAGAAACCGCACTCATCCCGTATTTACAACCCCACAGTCTCAAATTATTCAAAAGAACATTGTGGGGCTGAATGATAAGGGATATGGGGCGATGCCAAGCTAAATGGTTCTACCATTCTCAGGTCCCTGAGGGCAGCCTCACCTGGAGAGGAAAGGATAACACCTCAGTATACGGAGCCCAATCCTCCTCAGTGCCCTCACGGAGGTTCATTGATACCCTTGCCACCCTCGGTGCTTCAGGGCTCAGTGAGCTCCGACGAGCGAAAATCCCAGCTGCCGCCTGGCCACGGTACGGCACGGGAGAGCTCGCCCCCTCAAGTGAGGGTGCTAGAGATGTCGTCCTCGCCCATATGAGAGAGCTGGGGTTAAGACTAAACTCCAAGTAGAGTGTTCTTTCTCCACTACAGAGAACCACTTATGTAGGCGTGGTGTGGGACTCAACCTCGATGCAGGCACGTCTGTCTCCTGCTCAAATCGAGTCAATCCTCACGACAGTCACGAGAGTAAGAGAAGGCCAGTCACTCACTGTCAAACAGTTTCAAAGGCTGTTGGGCCTGATGGCAGCGGCGTCCAACGTGATACCTTTTGGCCTGCTGTACATGAGACCCTTGCAGTGGTGGCTCAGAACCAAGGAATTTCCCCCAAGGGGGAATCCGCTTCGCATGATCAAGGTCATGCGGCGATGCTTACGTGCCTTAGACATGTGGAAGAAACGTTGGTTCCTGGTTCAAGGCCCGATGTTAGGGGCTCCTTATCGTCGCATAATGCTAACGATGAATGCCTCTCTCACGGGCTGGGGAGCGGTCATGAGTGGCCGCTCTGCCTGGGGTCTGTGAGAAGGCCATCATCTCTTTAGGCACATCAACTGCCTGGAGATACTGGCCGTGTTTCGAGCTCTGACACACTTCCTACCAGACCTAAGGGGGAACAGACAACACATCCGCACAGACAACACATCGGTGGTCTCCTACATCAATCGGAAGGAGGGTCTGCGATCACAGGTCACAGATCCTTCTTTACATCCCTGGGTATCTAAATCAGGGGGCAGATATCCTGTCGAGACAGGGGCTGAAGCCCGGGGGATGGAGGCTCCACCCCGAGGTGGTGGAGCTCATTTGGAGGGAATTTGGCCAGGTTAAAGTGGATCTATTTGCGTCGCAGGAAACGACACACTGTCCGCTCTGGTTCTCCCTCACGCATCCAGCTCCACTGGGGCTGGATGCCATGGTGCAGACGTGGCCAAGGCTTCATCTGTACGCTTTTACCCCAATCGCTCTGCTGCCGGGAGTTCTGTAGAGGGTACGCCAGGATGGGGTCCGTCTGTTGCTAGTAGCCCCGTTCTGGCCGGCCCAAGTATGGTTCTCGGACTTGGTGTCCCTCCTCGATGGCTCTCCGCTGGAAATTCTGATCAGGAGGGACCTCCTCTCTCAGGCGGGGGTGCCATTCTTTACCCCCGCCCGGAGTTATGGAAGCTGTGGGCATGGTCCCTGAGGGGGCACAGCTCCTAGCATCTGGTCTCTCAACTGAGGTTGTTGAGACTATACTCCAGTCCAGAGCTCCCGCCACTAGGAAACAGTACGCCTTGAAGTGGAAACTTTTCACTTCATGGTGCGGACAGCGACTGCAGGACCCTGTCAACTGCCCACTCTGAAGGTATACGTGGTGGCCTTAGCTGCTTACCATGCCCTTCTGGGTGGTCAATCATTGGGAAGACACCCACTTATCACTCGTTTCCTCCGTGGCACCCTGAGGCTGAGGCCGGTTGAGCGCACTAAGGTGCCCTCAATGCCCTCAATGCCCCCTTTGAACCCATAGAAGAAGTTTCAGGTCATGTTGCTCACGCTCAAGACCATCTTTCTCCTTGCTATTTCCTCACTAATAAGGATCGGGGATCTTCAGGCACTTTCTGTTTCATGCCTGGAATTTGCTCCATACATGGTTAGGGCATTTCTTTACCCGAGGGCCGGGTAT